CCTTCCAAGTAGCTGGAACTACAGGTGCGCGCTACCACACCCAGCTAATTTTTTTATTTACTGTAGAGATGAGGTCTCGCCAAGTTGCCCAGGCGGGTCTCGAACGCGCGGTCTCAGGCAATTTACTCACCTCAGCCTCCCAAAGGCACGGGATTACAAGCTGAGCCACTGAGCCCGGTTATTCACAGTCTTATCCTTTCCAACTTTCTGTATGTTTGAAAACACTATAAAAAGTTGAGAAGGGCCGGGCTCGATGACTCAGCCTGTAATCCCGCGCCTTTGGGAGGCGGAGGTGAGTGGATTGACTGAGCCCGCGGGTTCGAGACCCGCCTGGACAGTGAGACCTCATCTCTACAATAAACCAAAAAATTAGCTGGGCGTGGTAGTGCACGCCTGTAGTTCCGGCTACTCGGAAGGCTGAGGCGGAAGGATCACTGGAGCCCAGCAGGTCGAGGTTGCGGTGGCCGGGAGCGGCCACTGCACTCCAGTCTGGGTGACAGAGTGAGACTCCAACTTAAAAAAAAAAAAAAAAAAAAAAAAAGTTGAGAAGGTTGGGTGCAGTGGCTCACACCTGTAATCCCAGCATTTTGGGAGATTGAGGTGGGAGGATTGTTTGAATGCAGGGGTTCAAGACCAGCTTGGGAAACATAATAAGACCTCATCGCTACAAAAAAATTTTAAAAATCAGTCAGTCATGGTGGTATGCACCTGAAGTCCCAGCTACTTGGGGACTGAGAAGGAAGGACTGCTTGAGCTCAGGAGTTCGAGGCTGCAGTAAGCCATGACTGTGCCACTGCACTCCAGCCTGGGCAACAGAGTGAAACTCTGACTCAATAAACAAACAGATAGTTGAGGATTAAAAAAAAGACTTCCAGATAGCATATATTCTCATTCCAAAACTCATTTTCAAGAAAAATAATATAAAAATTTATTTATGTGAGAAAATATGTAAGTGAATGCTCTAATAAGTCCAAATACTTAAGTAAATCACTGAATTTGTGGTCAGCAAATCAAGTACCAAAAACTGCTGCTAAGTCTAAGAAATTCTGTAAATACATACCGATTAAAACACGGGGAAGTGGGATCAGTGAAATGTTTGTAAGGGTTTGCTCTAGACAGAGAACCCATGCAAATCCAGCAGAAATACTGCATACAGCCAGTACACGTCATCTTGTTACATCCATCTAATTTCTGGTGGGAAGGATAGAAAGAGAAACATACGAGGGCTGTAAAAACACAAGAGAAATGCACATGCCAAAAAGATGCAGACGACATTTTCCTAATCCTCTCCTCTGTCTTACACAGCATTGAGATATACAAGTAACACACATAACTATTTAATGCTTGTTACTTTATATTACAAGTAAAATACAGAAAATACTTAGCAAGTGTTCCTACAACTAGACACTTGGCACATTCTCTTCTGATAAACAACAGATACAAATCAAACACATGTAACTGGAACATACAGTAGAATTAATATTAAAATGTTTGGATTTAATATGTTTAAGTTTTATATAAACCTAAGTACACATTTGGAATCAAGAGCTCCACTCTATCATAGGGTATGTCAAAAGTGGTTAAACATAAGGCCAGTTTCCTTCATGGGGTAACTACGAAATTGCCAGTAGGTTAAGTTCAGATATAACAGACTGGAACAGTAAAATCAAATGCAAAGATATATTTTGATTTTAAAACATATTAAGAGTTTGTCAAGAAGCAATAGATTTGTCTAATTAATTTGGCTCAGATTAATGAAAAAATGTCTCCATTTCCTGAGTATATATTAGTTAAACAGGTGTGCTACATTCCAGGATAAATAGTTCAGAGAGGTCAGATTTGGATTTTTTTAAATCACATAGATGAATTAAGAGTTGACTGTAGCTCTAGCAAGCCCTCCTCATAACGCATTCAATTATGAGGTGGATAAAATATGAGAACAATTATCGCTGTATGAAGGCACTTTGGAAAGGGAAGTCTACACGCATTTAAGGCCAATAACAGTATTTAGTAGTGAAATTTGCATCTTCCAAGTAAAAAGGCTTAATAAATACCAACTTGTGTTTTCTTAGGTCATAACGTGGACTCATAAGGCAATCATAACATGTTCGCAAGTCTCTTTGCCTCCAAGTCTGTCCCCAAATGTTTACCTCTATGGGAGTTCCACAGCATGGGCAGCTCTTTGAGTTCTTTTCTAGCCACTCCTTACTTTCCATCTCTTCCAGTGCCTTCTGAATCACCCTTTTACCATACCTCTGCTCCAAAAATCTTTTATTGGCCTCATCTGCTTGCAGGTACTCATTTCGTAAGTCCATTAATTTCTCTAGAAAGTGAAACGGATAATTAACTTTGCAATGCTGACTAAAAATCATTAATCTTCCATCTAGAAGAGTTGGATTTGCTAAAGGTGGTAGAATAATAAGTTATTTTTTCCTTTAGTTTTGATTTCTTAATGTTGATATGTTTATGCAACTAATAGTGTACAGTTAAAGACTGACTTATCTAAAAGGCACAAAGGTTGAAACAGACACAGATTTTCCACTAAGTCAGCATCATGCACTATCTGATAATGAACAAGGCCTACCAAATATAAAGGCAGCCTTGGCTTAAGGACACAGGCTGACTGTTCAATTCTGCATATTAAAAAAATCAACGGGGAGACATCCCTTATCCACAAGGGTGCCTGAACGATGCATATTTGTATACCTAACCCTTAACTGTAGCCCGTAATTTTAAAATAAAAAATATGATTAAATAAAAAAAATCAGTGAATTAAATATACTACCCTAGACTCACTGTGTACTATGCTTTGTGGCAGGTACTAACGCTTTTTTGCTTGGTACTTTTCAACCTCGCTTCTACTGCTCTATCACTTAAACAAAACAGGCAACCCTTCCCAAAGGCTGTACTTGGAGACAAAAGGCTTTTGTTCACAACTCTATTATTTTACTTTTTCAACACAATTAATTAAGGACTCTCTCAGCAACATTCTAGACATGTTATTAGTTTACTTTCCATATATTATTAGAGGCCAGTCTAATAAAGCAGTGGACATCTTCTGAGGCGGAATCCTGTTCCCACTCTACCTTCACCTATGAATCCTTTCTCTGTGCTGTGCATCCCATGGCCCTATTCCCTATTTCTATTCGATATAGCAGATCTTAATCTTGTCATTTTTTTATCCCTCTAATAATTTTTTAAAATGTGTGTTCGTAGACATCTTAAGAACAAAGGTTATTGCTCTAATGTTCTCAAAGTAATAAAATTCTTAGTATTTCATATTTTATATAATATTTTATGTATATATGGAGATTCCTCATTTTGTTGATGCCCTAAGCCCATCTCCAATTTGTCCTCTGTTATGATATGCTTGATATATACTGTAGTTATGCAGTGATAAGGTTACAGAAGTCTAAAAGTAAAGGCTTACAGTATACTTCAGTAAGTTCTCCATCCCATCTGCCCTAACCTTCTATAAGACTCAGCCCAACATGACTCAAGTTGTCTACCCACTCTTTCCTCTCAGCATATTTTCTGGCAATAATGGCACTCTGCTAACATTAGCAATTAGTAACTATAATAATATTAATAGTTACCATTTTGCATTTTACATGTACTAGCCCATTGCTTCTCATAGTGAAGGACCAGTTTTTTCTTCCCAGTATGATAAGGATCAATACATTTTTTTTTCTTGAGTCAGAGTCTCACTTTGTCGCCTAGGCTGGAGTGCAGTGGCATACTCATGGCTACTGCAGCCCTGAACTACTGGGCTCAGGCAGTCCCCTCCACTTCAGCCCCTAAAGTAGCTGTAACCACCATGCCGGCTAATTGTTTGACTTGTAGAGACCAAGTCTTGCCAAGTTGCCCAGGTTGATCTCAAAGTCTTGGGCTCAGGCAATCCTCTCACCTCTACCTCCCAACATGCTGAGATCATAGCATGAGCCATACAACATGAGCCACCATGCCAGGCCTAGGATTAATACTTTTATAAAACACAAACAATTTTACTTGCTTGCTTGCTTGCTTGATGTATGTATGTATTTATTTATACATACTTTTGTAGAGACAGAGTCTCACTATGTTGCCCATGGTGATCTTGAACTCTAGGATTCAAGAGATCCTCCCTCGTCAGCCTTCTGAATAGCTAGAATGACAGGCATGCACCATTATGCCTGACTAATGATCACATGTATTATTCGAAAAACGAAAGACAAGTACAAGTCTACATTTTTATTAGATTTGACTGACATAAAATTACTTTGTGAAGTTGTTCAGGTCTCTAACTCTGCCTCTTAAGTTCTGTATTTACCTCATCATAGACCAGCACAACACATATAATAACTTTGAGTAGCACTGTATTAGTTTAATTCATCATTAGAAAATCCCTACGAGCCAAGCATGGTGGCTCACGTCTAAAATCCCAGTATTTTGGGAGGCAGAGGCGAGAGGACTGCCTGAGCCTAGAGGTTCGAGACCAGCCTGGGCAACTTGGCAAGACCTCATTTCTATAGCAAATCAAAAAATCAGCTGGGCATGGCGGCATGCGCCTGTGGTTCCAGCCATTTGGAAGGCTGAGGCGGAAGGATCCCCTGAGCTCAGCAGGTCGAGGCTACAGTGGCTATGAGCGTGCCACTGCACTCCAGCCTGGGCGACAGAGTGAGACTCTGACTTAAAAAAAATAAATAAATAAAATTCTATAAAATAGCTATTATCATCATCCCTGTTGGTCTGAGAAAGACTAAGCCAACAAAGTCCAGTAAAAATCGATGTTAATAACCTGATTTCCCATTCCTTATCTAGATCAGAAATGGCAAACAGCCTTTCTTCTTGGCTGGGTGCAGTGGCTCACACCTGTAATCTCAGCACTTTGGGAGGCCAAGGAGGGAGGATTTCTTGAGCCCAGGAGTTCAGGACCAGCCTGGGCAACATAGTGAGACCTCATCTCTACAAAAAAACAAAAAATCCAAAAATTAGCCAGACATGGTGGTGCACACCTGTAGGCTCAGCTACTCAGGAGGCAGTGGTAGAAGGACTGACCGAGCTCAGGAGGTTGAGGATGTGAGCCATGATCGTGCCATTGCACTCCGGCCTGGGTAATAGAGTGAGACCCTGACTCAAAAAGAAAAAAAGAAATGGCAAGCAGGTTTCATCCCTGGGTCTACTTCAACAGAGGGGAATTTTCTAAAGCACCATGTTGAAGCAGCTTCTGAGGCTTCCCTGGGTGCAGTGAGACACATCTGATGACAGATCAGTCACAGGTACCACGGAGACCGAAGCAGCGGCTTAGATGCCCTGCGCCTGCCACTCAGGATCCATGTGCCCAGGTAGAATTCACCTTGCTATTCCTTCTCCTAGAATGCTCCCCCCTGATATCTGTATGGTGTTCCTAACTTTCTGAGTCTTAAGACATTCTGTCATGCGTCCTCCCTGGGTTTCCCTAACTAAAATCCCAAGTTCTTTGTCCTCAGAACATTTCATACTCCGTTCCTGCCTATTTCTTTCTTCTCCTTGGCACTTACCACCACTTAACGTCCTTATTTTGTTTGCCTGTCTCCCCACTAGAATATAAAGTTCTGTGAAGGCAGAGATTGTCCCTTCTGGTCACTACTGTATCCCCAGAGTCTAGGACAGTAACTGACACAGAACTACCTGTTGAATGAATACTTCCAAATTGAAGAACTGAAGTCATAAGGCTTTGGTGGAGAAAGTGGAAGGAAGGCAAGGGATGGGGGGTTTCAGTTCACACATTTACAACGTACCTGCCGTCACCTTACATGGAGAGACTCCATGGTAGGTCAGTCTGCACAGGGTACAGAAGGCAAAATTGCAGCTGGAGCAGATGCCCATAGTGCAGCCAGGCTCCTGCATCACAGGCAGCTGGCAACACGGGCGAGGGCAGTACACCACATCTGCCATCAGATCCAAGGTAGACTGGAGGAGAAGGCGGTCATAACGGGCAAATAACTTTGCTTCCACTAGCTCTTTGACCTGGAGGGAAATACAAAGCACTACAGGTCTGCTGATTCCACAACCAGTTTTAAATCTGAGGAGATTCTTAGGATGCTGATGTAAACCAGATGAGCACATAAACCAAAACCTCCTTCTCATCTGAAAATTAACATAAGTATAGCAACAATCTATATCTTGACCAAGATGGTGGTTATGGGGGTCTACACATTTGTCAAAACTAAGCAAACTGTATAATTTAAATATGTATAGCTTATTATAAGTAAAATTATGCCTTAATAAAGTTGATTTTTTTAAAAAGAAGGCTATGCTTATGCTAGAGTCTGTAAAAGTGCTGGCTAATCGGGGAATGGGCCACCTGAGACTCAATCCCCACCACTAAACAATATGCACATGGAACAAATATGCTTGTGTACCCCCTGAATCTAAAAGCTAAAAAAAAAAAAAAAAAAAGAGTTGGCTACTCATTCCAGAGAATGTTCCCTTCAGATCCCAGCCTCACACAAGACAGGCCAGTGACTCCGCGAGACTGACAGGCTCCTAGCAGATATATACAAAGTAGCTCGCCAGAATCACTGCAAATTATCTTTTCAACACTTGCCCTTGACTAGGACTGCCCATTCCAAGGCAGGCAAAAGAAACATTTATGTTTTTTGAAACAGCTGACCAAGACCAAAGCATTCTCCCCCCCACCCCAAAGCGTTCTTAACGGCTACAGTGAAATGACTTGGGGGCTGGCTCCATGGCCTCAGACTGCCCCAGGAACCCTATCAAAGAAGTTCCTGAGAACGTCTTTGGTTGTGAAAGAGAATTAGGAGGCAACCATCAGCAGGGTAAAGCACTTACCTGACCAGGAGTGGCCACCGAAGGGCACTTTGGTTCCGGGCAGTTGAGGCACTGAACCTGGCCATCTCTGATCTGGATTTCAAAGTAGTCCTTCAGACAGGCTTTGCAGTACACGTGCCTGCACTCCAAGAAGTACATGCATTCACTACCCAGCTTCTCACAGAAACAGATATTGCACAGGAACAATTTACTATTAAAGCATTTTATCTGCTGAGCTTGATCAAAGTCCAAGATTTCCTGGATGAGACTTGACAGTGATTCCACATCCTGCACAGCTCTCTCATCCACAATTTCCTCTTGGTCTACATCAGATCCGGCAGCTCCTCCAAAATCTAGCTCTGTGTTGGGAGAGGCTTGAACCATCCTTCTCTGCACTTTTTTCTGAGAACCCATCTTGAGCTCAAAAGGAGAGACAATATTCAGGTATGCTAGGGTCTCTTCCTTAAGAAACTGCATCCAGGCAAACAGAACCACGCTGCCACGGTGCTCTTCCCACAGGTTGTCTAAGTGCTTGCAAAGAGCAGAGAGCTAAGAGAAAACATACAAGGTTTCTGGTGAGTTTGGAAAGATGATGACACTGCCAAATCCTAGCTTCCCTACAACTTTAACTTTGAAGTTAGGTCCTTACGCTTCCTAACACTATTTTTTTACTGCTGTCGTACACTGTGCTACAAAATAGAACCAACATTCTTCTTGGAGTACTTCCTAAACAAGAAATACAGCAAGACCCCATAAGATGAAGAAATAGATTTATATTCCAGCCACTGAAATGGAATACTCTTATGTCATATGTTCTTTTACTATTGTTATCTATCTCATATAGTTCTAAAAATGAACTATTTCTCTTCCTTTGGGAGTCTAAGCCCTGTTGGCACCCTGAAATCATGGTTAGAGAGAGAGAACAGTTTGAAAATACTATCAATGTTTTAAAATTAATTCTTTCAGTCCTGTCAAAAGTCAACTCATCTGAAAGCTTCACTAACAGAATTCAACCTGAGTACTTGTTTTTCAGATTTGCAAGCTGCTTTTGACTAAGCAATCTGGGCTTACATCAGCTCCTGGTTAATGGAGGGAAGCTGACTGACACTGACCCTGGACATAATTCCAAGCCCTTAACATGGTTTGACTGCCATAAAGTTCACACTTCCTAAGCTAAGCAACCAAAGTTAAATCATTTTGACTTTTCCTCTTTAAAAGTAGTCTGTTCAATTTGAAAGGCAAATATAAGAGGATTTTCCATTAGAAATATAAAATATTTGTAAGTAGAGCTCAGGAATTATAAGCAGCTTTTCTTTTTTAGGTAAACATCCAAATATAAGCCTTCCAGATGGCAAACATTTTTGTAAATTTAAATAAGTGAAAAAGGGTCACATTTTCTGTTCCTTGCTCTGTATGGTGCTATGAACTAAACCCTGCGCAGGCACTACGTTAAGTACACTGATAAGTTATGACTGGACAACTAATGCTTCTTCACATTTGCATGAATATGCTTACAAGACTGGCCACACTTTTGAGAAACCGGCTAAAATCTGTAAAACAAGATAAATACTAAAGGGAAGCTGAGTGCTGTGAGCCACCAAGTTCCATGGAGAAGCCGTCCTCTTCTCTCCCCCAGTCCTTTCTCAAAAGAGTCGGCTGGGATACATGTCAATGTGAAGGGAGGGGGAAACAGAGGAAAAGAGCAAGAGACAGTCTGTGTCTGTGTATGTTGGGGGAGGAATGATGGAAGATACCAAACAACTAAACCCACTTCTCTGGTCTACCCACCCCAATTCAGTGAGTGGCAGGTCCATGTGTCAATTTTACTACCAACAGGTAAGATTCATAATGGAATCAGGGTACAGCAAAAAACAAGAACTGAACCAAGAAGGAAGTAAGAGACCAATTAAAATGTCAATTATATGCACACTCATTTATTTGATAAATAATTCTACTATAATTTTAGCTGGAAGACATAAAGTATTGAACAACCCTCTTCCCCAGCACACCCCCCTGCCAAATCCAGCATTAAGTTGACGCTGGTTGGCTAGAATCTAAAACTGCAACCAGTTAATCTGTCCCTGTTTTGTGCATGTGTACATGCATATGCACATGCATGGATGTAAAGTGTCTAGAGCTTTCTGGAGAAGTGGGACTATAAATATCTAAATAAATCAGCTAACTATCAGTGATCTAAATGTCCAACAGTCTTAATATTCTTGGGCAAATACTCAACTGTCTTGCAACTATTGCCTCTGGCAAGGATGTTAGAATGTAAAGTAATATTCATTTTTATTCTACATCTATTATCCTTTTTTAAAGTTTAATTTTGTTTTTAAGCCTTAAACTCAAGTATGCAAATGAAAACTATATGATCAAAAGGGAAAAACCGCTGCTGCTATTCCTCGAGGTCAGCAACTGTGACAGCTTTTGCCTTAATATACATCAGCCTCTCAATCTTCATCATGACTTCCAGAAAAGTAGCTGCCATTGATCCATTATCTACCCCAAATATTTTATATTAGCTTTAAGTCCTACTACGTCTCAATCAAGAGTTGAGTTTGTTACTAGAAAAGGATATATTACTCAGAGGAAATAAAGCTTCCTGATATAAGGCCTCAAGCCTTAATGAGATACCTACAGGAATTGCACACATGTCTATTTGTGTGCATTTATGTCTGTGTGACACCAATCAACAATTATGTTATTAATATACAGGTTTTTAAAAAGAAAAGCACATATTTCCTTAGAAAAATTAATTATAGCTATATTAGCTCAATTTTTAGTCCTAATTACAGCTAAGTCTTTCATTTAAGGAATGGTAAAAAACTAAGAAAACGTTATACCAACATCTAAGGAAAATGAGGAGGTCCTCACAGTCTCCATTACAACACAGATTAAATCGGAAACAGCAAGACAAGAAAATAGCAAGACAAGAAAATATACTTGATTAAAATTACTCCTACTGCAATGCATAAAGATTGTTTTAATTACTGCCATTTCTTTTTTAAAAAACACCAAACATTTTCAATTTATTAACAGTAGAATTCATCAAGGCAAGGGAAAAAAATTACAAAATCAAAGTCATTTGTTCTTCATGCACTGAATTCAAGATCATCAAGATAGTCTTCAATTCAAGATGATTTTTTTAAGTTTCTAAAAATGGAGAGGAAAAATTAAGTTTCGGGTCTAACCTGAGTTGGTGACAGCCATTTGCCACTAAGTGTGAATGAAGGTGGGGAGGAGGATGGATAATCTGGTGGCAGTTCAAAGTTCAGCACAAGTGGAGGCAGAAAGCAAATGGTGTATTCAAAGCCACTATTCTGGAGACACTCATTTGAATTGCCTGAACCAAAAACAAAGAGTAGAAAGGATCAGTTGGTCAACACTTGAGTGTCCATTACTGCTGAGCAGTGCTCAAGAAAGACTCAATGCTTTAGTTGAGGGGATAAAAACCCTCCTCCAAAGCACTTTCTAGTTCCTAATTTTAACTTGGTAGCCACCACCTTAAAAAAAAAAAATCTTGTAAGCCCTTGAAAAATCTACTAAGCATCATGAAATGTACAATGAAGAAACACAACTTATTCTTGTATACACTTCTGAGTACAATTCCTAACACTAATGACCAAGTAACACACAATGTTTTGTTGTTGGTCTGGTTTACAGTAGATTATTAAAGACACAATCTAGAGAAAAGAGCATTTATTTCTATCAAACAGCCATGACCTACTTAGATCAGCATGTGCCAACTCTCCATGAATCACAGTTGGGAAAACTTGCACCAACACAATGATCTCAGGCTTGAGGGCATGATACACCACACAACACTCTCACAATCAAAGTTTCATTTAAATTATCACACATTGTTTACCCAGTCCCTTTATAGCAGAAACATTTTGAGAAACTGTGCTTCAAGGTCTTCTGTGAACGTTTGTATCAAAAGTGGTTTTATTTTTTCTGAAGCAAAAGGTCACAGAATAACAGCATGTGTCACCTGTTTATGGCAGTAAAAATGATTCTGGAAACCAATTAGTATTAACCACCACCATGGTGCTTTAAAGCTTCCAAGTGTTTCACAAACATTCATTCTCTCTTTTATTAATCCCTATTTAACAGGCAGTGACTCGGGGTTGATAAACTGCTAGTTAGAAGACTAGGATGTATGAAACATGCAGGATAATATTCCTATTCAGTGGTCCAAAAGAGGGAACCAAATTGAAAATTGTTTATCCCCATTCTAATTTTCATTTAAAACAGAAACATGCATTAAATCTATAATACGACCAATCATCAATAATGCCAATAAACACAAAATGACAAATAGTTTAGGGTACACTAAGAAATTGATAGTCATCTTTATTAGAAAAATCTGTTTAAGATAATATTATTAACTGACCGCTCACAAATATCTTGAAATTCTGTGGCAAATCCAAGTAGATCCTGGTTTCTCCACCTTGGACAGACTCTGCTTTTCTAAATTCATCTCCATCATAAATACTCGCCAGGGCCAGCAATTCATCCTCCTGAGCTTCTCGGTCTTCTGACGACATTTAATTTTCTGAGGAACTGAAGATAATCATCCAAATCAGTTAAGAATAGAAAACACATAGAACTGGGAAAAGTTTAATGGCACTTTTAAAAAGTTCCTCACAAACAACTGTAAAGAATTAATCAATGTTCTCATTATTCTGTTAAAAATGACAGTCATACCTAGCATTCATTCTGTTAGCTTTGTAATAGTAATAGTCTTTTCCAAAAGGGACAGTTATGGCACTTCCAATTGGTGACGTTATCAGTTAGGTATTTTATGGCAATTTTAGAGAAAAAAACCACAATTAAAAAAATTTTTGAGCCGGGCTTGGTGGCTCAGCCTCTAATCCTGCGCTTTGGGAGGCTGGGGTGAGTGAATTTCCTGAACCTGCGGGTTCAAGACCCGCCTGGGCAACTTGGCGAGACCTCATCTCTACAATAAACAAAAATTACCCAGGCGTGGTAGCGCGTGCCTGTAGTTCCAGCTACTTGGAAGGCTGAGGCGGAAGGATCACTGGAGCCCAGCAGGTAGACGCTGGGGTGGCCAGGAGCGGCCACTGCACTCCAGTCTGGGCGACACAGTGAGACTCCAACTCAAAAAAAAAAAAAAAAAAAAATTTTTTTTGACCTGGCATGGTGGGTCATGTCTATAATTCCAGTACTTTGGGAGAGTTACTTGAGCCCAGAGGTTCAAGACCAGTCTGGGTAATACTGTGAGACTTTATTCCTTAAAAAAAATACAAAAATTAGCCCAGTGTGGTGGCTTGCACCTGTAGTTCCAGCTACTTGGGAGGCTGACATGGAAGGGTTGCCTGAGCCCATGAGGTCAAGGCTGCAGTGAGCTGTGATTGTCCCAACGTACTCCAGCCTGGGCAACAGAGTGAGAACCTGTCTCAAAAATTAATAAATACATGAAAATAAAAATAAGTTTGCAAAAAGGATAAATCACAAATTACTTTGACTTGGCCATTAAACCTAGCAAAGTGCCTTGCTTGAAAAGGAGCCAAAGTATATTTGATATACATCTTTAAACTATGTGAATTTGTAAAATCCACAAGAATCTCTAAGGCAGATTTTCTTAGCCTCAGCACTGCTGACATTTTGGAGCATATAATTTGTTGTGAAGAAGCTGTGTTGTGCATTGTAGAATGTTGAACAGCATCCCCCAGCTTCTACCCACTAGATACCAGGAGTGCCTTCCTCCCAGTTCTCAAGAGTTGTTACAATCGAAAGTATATCCAGATGTAGCCAAATGTCCAGGGCGAATGGATGGGGAGGGAGAATTGTTCCCAGCTGAGAAAACCCTGTGCTAGAAGATGTGATAGACACAGACACCATATTAGAAAAATTAGATAACTGACCAAGAAGCAAAACAATCTTAAACTTTTGAAATAGCAGACTTTGTCAAATCTAAGGAGCACTCAATTTTTAGGTCCACCATTTTAGATAACACTACGAATGAAAATATGCTACAATTAAAGCATGAATCTGGGCATGATGGCTCAAGCCTATAATCCCAGCACTTTGGGAGGCCGAGGCGAGAGGATTGCCTGAGCTCATGGGTTTGAGACCAGCCTGGGCAACTTGGTGAGACCTCATCTCTATGACAAATTAAAAAATAAGCCGTGTGTGGTAGCATGCGCCTGTAGTTCCAGGTACTTGGAAAGCTGAGGTAGAAGGATCAATTGAGCCAAGCAGGTTGAGGCTGCAGTGGCCATGAGCGTGCCACTGCACTCCAGCCTGGGTGATAGAGTGAGATGCCAACTCAAAAAAAAATCATGAATCAATGCTTTTTAAAATTGCAGCAATTGAAAAATGCAGTTCAATTTCAGATAATTTAAAGGTGGAAAAATATGCAACAAGAATTCATGAAAATTATTTATTTATTAAAGAAACTTTGGGGGTCCGGGCTCGGTGGCTCAACCTGTAATCCCAGCACTTTGGGAGGCTGAGGCGAGTAGATTGCCTGAGCCCGCGGGTTCGAGACTAGCCCAGGCAACTTGGCAAGATCTCATCTCTGCAATAAAATAAAAAATAGCCGGGCATGGTAGCACGCACCTATAGTTCCAGCTACTTGGAAGGCTGAGGCGGAAGGATCACTGGAGCCTAGCAGATCGATGCTGGGGTGGCTGTGAGTGTGCTGTGCCGCTGCACTCCAGCCTGGGCAAAGGAGTGAGACTCCAACTCAAAAAAAATTTTTTTTAGGCCTGGCCTGGAGGCTCAGCCTATAATCCCAGCACTTTGGGAGGCTGAGGCAAGTGGATTCCCTGAGCCCGTGGGTTTGAGACCAGCCTGGGCAACTTGGTGAGACCTCATCTCTACAATAAATCAAAAACTAGCCGGACATGGTAGTGCGTGCCTGTAGTTCCGGCTACTTGAAAGGCTGAGGCGGAAGGATCACTGGAGTCCAGGAAGTCAATGCTGGGGTGGCCATGAGTGTGCCACTGCACTCCAGCCTGGGCGACAGAGTGAGACTCCAACTCAAAAAAAATAAAATTTTTTTTTTGAGAGACAGGGTCTCTTTTTGTTACCCAGGCTGGAGGGCAATGGTATGATCATAACTCACCACAGCCTCCTGGGCTCAAACAGTCCTCCTGCCTAAGCTTCCCAAGTAACTAGGACTACACACATGGGGACTGGCTATGTTGCCCAGATTGGTCTCAAACTCCTGGGCTCAAGTGAGCCTTCTGTCTTGGCTTCCCAAAGTGTTGGGAATATAGGCATGAGCCACTATATTCAGTTGAAATTTACTTTAATAAAACAACAAAAATATTACTTCTGTCAACTAAAATATTAAACTACAATTACATTTGCAAATACGTTCCTCTCAACTAAATTTTTTTTTTTAATTGAAACGTACAAAGTTGAAAAGTTAGAGCCAGGTGTAGTGGCCCATGCCTGAAATCCCAGCACTTTGGGAGGCAGAGGCGAGAGGACTTCCTGAGCCCAGCGGTTCAAAAACAGTCTGGGCAATTTGGCAAGACCTCGTCTCTACAATAAATCAAAAAATTAGCTGGGCATGGTGGCATGCATCTGTGGTTCCAGCTACTTGGAAGGCTGAGGCAGAAGGATTGTCTGAGCCCAGCAGATTGAGGCTGAGGTGGCCATGAGCATGCTGCACTCCAGTTTGGGTGACAGAACGAGACTCTTGACTCAAAAAAAAAAAAAAAAGAAAAAGGAAAAAAAGAAAAGTTAGAGTATGGTCTTTTTTACATTACAAAGGTGACGTTATGAAATTTAAACAAATTTACTTAAAATTATTCCATTTCCCCCAAAAAATGTTTTTCTTAAATTGCATGTGTAAAACACAGTGACATATTCAATTTGAGGTCAGTTAGTACCTGTTAATAACAAGAAGAAAAGGATATTAACACTGCAGTCTATATTTCAGTCCAGTGAGGAATTTTTGCAAATCCCATTTATTCTCCAGTCAGTGGAACTATGACTGCACAAGTTGAATAAGAGGCCAAGATTTGGAGATCATACTACATATACTGTGGAAATCCTGCCATCTGCAGAAAAGAAATACAAAAGATGGCGTTAGGATCCTCTCCAAATTAAAATTCTGAATTTCCATTATCACCACTTAAGTCAAACGCTTCCTAACATAGAGCCAGTCCTAATCTATAGCTGCATATTACTTTCTAGGACAGACAAACCGAGCCACGTGGTTAAAGGAGCATTTGCATGTCCTCAGCAATGACAGAAGCCTTATCTGACTACCCACAGCCCTGGGAGGAGCTAAGGAGGAACACCAAGGTCATATGACAGGACAGGACACCACGCCTGTAACATCCTCTTAAGTTTGTTTTTTGTTTTATTTTCTCCTTTCTTCTTCTGCTTCTTCCATTCCTTTGTTTTCTACTCCCCTGCAGTTTTTCCTCTCTCCTGCTCATGAGTTAACCCTGCCAGTGGTACTCAAGGTTAGGTCAACTTTGATAGCAGAATACTATTTAAAGAAACAAAATAAAACAAGTAGAGTACATACACACACACTTTAGATTTTATTCTAAAATACTTTAGGCTTCTAAGAGCTAGGCTTCTTAACAGGGTAAGGGTAAGGGAAGTGTGGTCTGTAGATGGGTTATGGAGGGTTCGATGAACACCCTAAAATTATATGCAAAAACATTATATGAAACTGTAATGTTTAAACCAGATTCTCAGATGTGCGACTCCCAAATGAGGTAAAAATTAGATTCAATGTATGTGTATTGAGCACCTACTGTGTACATTATTAGGTCCTTTCACATTACCTTTATAAACTTAAACAAATTTACCAAGTAGTTGTATATGGTGCTAATAAAATTGAGTTTTTCGTTTCTTCCTACTAAAACATTTACAAATAGGATGCAATGAGGCCAGGCACAGTGGCTCATGCCTGTAATCCCAAAGGAAAAGACTTGATCCTCACCTTTAGGAACTAATGTAGCCTGATAGGAGAGAAAATGCACGTTGATGAGCTACAATGCAAAGCAGGATGAGACAGCGTCATAGTAAAGTTATAGTTTTTACAGAAAAGCATGATAGCTAACCGGAAAATACTAGGTGGAATAGGGCTTTGGGAGTCTGAGGCAAAAGTATTGCATGATCCTAGGGATTTGAGACCAGCCTGGGCAACATGGTGAGGCCCCATCTCTACAATAAATAAATAAATAATTAGCTGAGTGTGGTGGTGCCTGCCTGTAGCTCCAGTACTTGGAAGTGTGAGGCAGGAGGATCGCCTGAGCCCAGCATGTCAAGGCTGCAATGACCGTGATCATGCCACTGCACTCAAGCCTGGGTGACAGTGAGACTCGGACTCCAAAACAAAAAACAAAAAAACAAGCCGGGCTCGGTGGCTCAGCCTGTAATCCCACGCCTTTGGGAGGCTGAGGTGAGTGGACTGCCTGAGCCTGCGGGTTGGAGACCCACCTGGGCAACTTGGCGAGACCTCATCTCTACAATAAATCAAAAAAAAATTAGCCGGGCGTGGTAGCGCAGTTCCAGCTACTTGGAAGGCTGAGGCGGAAGGATCGCCAGTGGCCAGGAGCAGCCACTGCACTCCAGTCTGGGTGACCGAGTGAAACTCCAACTCAAAAACAACAGCAATAAAAAAAACAAAAATAGGATGAGATGAACAATTTATGATTTTAGGTTGATGTTCTCCATCCTGTCTGCACATTAGAATTTCCTGAGGAGTTGTTTTTAAAAATCCCAGTACCCAGGATACACCCTAAAACAATTGAATCAGGCCTCAGTAGTTTCCCAAGCTCTCCAAGTAATTCCAATATGCAGCAGGGCTGAACCTCTACTCCAAGCAGTGTTTCAGCAGTTCCTCATGACCCAATCCAGCAGACCCCGGCCTGTGAAGCTGCCACCTAAACCAGTTCCTTATCTTAATTCAGGTCACTAACCTCCATTTCTTTCTATTCTATTCATTAGGCCTTCGGGGCCCACCTCCAAAGCCCCTGTTCCACCTAGCATTTTCCAGTTAGCCATCATGCTTTTCTGTAAAATCCAGCCAAACGTAACTTTACTATGACACTGTCACATTCCACTTTGCATTTCAGTAGTTTACCATCAACTTGCATTTCCTCTCCTGTCACACTGCATTGGATTCTAAAGGGTGAGGATAGTCCTTTCCTTCTGTCTATCCTTCTCAGAATCTAGCAGAACCTTGCATTAGACACTGAAAAAATTTATAACTGAATTGGGGTGAAATGCGGTGTGCTGGAATCGGCGCCCAGGAGCAGAGGGTTCAGGGACCTCTCCGCCCCATTCCTCCTGCACGGAGAAGCAGGTGAGCGGGTGGGTCGTCACGGCAACAGTGCGCTCCTACCGTCGTCAAGCATCGTGCTCAACCCCTCCAGTGCGTTCACTGACACTGGAGTCCCACGACCGCATGAAGCAAGTCCTTTTACTATCCCCATTACACAAATGAGGAAAGTGACAGTTTAGGTCGCTTTACGGCACAAGGTCACACGGCTAACACATCGCTAAATCTGGATTCAGATCGCCCCGTTTCTTCGTCTGCAACACAGGAAGAAGAATGAGCCCCAGCGCCATCAGACAAGCGACGATTCGAGTTTAATGTGAGTTTTGGCAAACCGGAAGCCGCTGAAGCAGGGAGGAAGCCCCTCCTCCGCGGTGTCTCCCTTCGGCCTGGGAAACCCTCCGCCTCCGTTCAGGCCGCGCCGCGTGGAACCCAGCTTCGGGTCAGCCCTGCTCTGGTTCAGCTCGCCGCCGCCGTCTCCACTGCTGGCCCCCGGCGTGCCGGGTCGTCCGTGGGTGACCGACGCCCCTGAGGGCCACGCCGCGCCCGCAGCGCCCGCCCGGAACAGGACTCTGCGCGGGCGGCTAGCCCGGGCCTTCCCTTCCCTCTGGGCGCCCCGGAGGGGGTCCCGGCCGGGG